CTACCCGAGTTTCCTCGGGGTGTCTGGTCTCCTTCTTCACCCACTTCAGCCTGTTCGTGATTCTGTGCACGTGGGTGTCCACAGCTGGGAAGGGAGAGCCCGGAGTTTAGGTGGGGGCAGGCATACCTGAACGGAGAGAGCAGACCCCCGAGCCGCCTGTCATGGCACACACCAGGTTTCTTCTGCGCGCCAGCGGGACCAGGCAAGCGGAACAGGGAGGGGAGGCTCGCCCGCAGAACGAAACGTGCTGCCTTCTCCCGAGGCCCAGAGCCAAAAGCAAGATGGGCTGGATATCTCGCACCACGCAGCCAGCGACACGCTCGCACGATCTGACCCGGCCTCCCTTCAAAGGCTCGCGTGCTCGGATCACAGGGCAGCCCGTCCCCGGTTCTCTTCCTCCCTCGCGTTTCAGCCCAGCTTACGCAAGTCGCAATCTCTGCCCCTTGGTTTACCCAGATGGAAAACACATTTCATAATACCCACCGACACAAGAGGGTTTGTGAGGCTTAAAACGAGTGTTTATAAAGTGCTTTAAGCTAAAAAGCTCTGAATGCAAAGTGTATTATTGTTAGATCAGCAGTGATAAACCTGTCTCTAGGGCTAATTGGGCAAAACCCAGGAAATTGCTGTAAACAGGAAGACTAAGTCTTGCCTCCTAAATCAAAACTGAGCGTACAATTATTTGGAAAACAGTTGGCTAGTTTGGCTCCGGCTGCACTTCCCTCCCCGCCACAGCAGGGAAGAGAACAACAGACCCCAAAAAAAAAGACCCCGGCGCGGGGGCCACAGGTCGTACAGCTGCCAGCCACCCGTGGGGCGAGCCTTCGTGAGGTGACACCACGTTGCCAGGGCAGAGAACACATTTGGAATATGAATCTGTCCCCAGGGGTCCCCAGGCCGGGACAGCCCGCAGGGACCCTGCAGCTGATTGTCCAGCCCCATCTGCCGGCAGCTCTGCTGCCAGCATCGCCCAAACCAGCATCGCTCCCCCAAACCAGCATCGCTCCCCCAAACCAGCATCGCTCCCCCAAACCAGCACCGCGCAGGAGCCGCGCTGCCCTGGGCTCCCTCCCAGCACAGCTCCACGGGGTACAGCTCTCCACCCTCTGCTCAATAAACAAGATAAAAACCCAAATGTCCCTGTGGTCACCTATCACCTGGCTGCAGGAACTAAAATCGATCAGAAATTCGGTCGCTGTAGATTGCCTGAGACGCTTCTTTCGACGATCCATCATGAATTACTGATTTCAAATGGCATTTCTGACTAAGCCCTGCTTCTGCCCTCTTATGGCTCACCAGACAAAAACTAGATTTGTTTAAACAGAAACAACCCTGGGGAAAAAGCTCAACCTTAGACTGTCCTACAGCCACCCCCAAATCACAAAAGTGACCCCCACCTCTCTCTCACTTGGCACTAAAGAGATTTCAAAGCATTACTCGGCGAGCACATCTTTTTGGATACCTACCCAATGAGGCACTAACTGCACTGCTTGCCAGCATCTGAGGGGATTTCTGCCTTCGCTTTTGGGGAAAAAACAGGAGCTGGACCCAGACTTAAACCCTACAGCAACTCGTACGCTGCGGGTCGCATCCTTCACCCACCCAAATCTTCTGTAGATGAGTGAACTGAAGCGATGCTACCTGGGCAGGCAGCTTCCCCAGCTGCAATGCTCCTCCTCTGCCCCGGGGATGGATCAGGCAGGATTTAGGAGAGGAAAAGGGAAAGAATGGTCCAACCTACCTATCCCACACACGCTGTCCCAGGCGATGTTCATGGCCAAGTGGGCCATCTTGGGCCCGACTCCCGGCAGCTGCACCAGCTCCTCCACAGTTCTGGGTATGTCACCACCGTATTTTTGCTTCAGGATGGCCGTCGTCTGCTTTATGTACTTCACCTTGTTCTGGAAAGTCAAGGGGAAAGGCAGAAAATCCAGGTCGCCCTCCAACACAGGGAAAAAGAGGCAAACAGCTCAGAAAACAAATTATTCCTGAGTGTGTGTTATGGGTGAGGCCACACACTAGACTTTGAAGAGAGGAGACAGGTCTTCGATTTCTCCTTGAAAGACCTGATTAGCTCTAACCCCTCAAGCACACTCCGGCCACTGCAGCAAAAAAATCTCGCTGTGAATACGAATTGCTACATCTGGTGTAAAATAGAGCGTCCAGCTGGACTCCAGGAGAAAGATTCCCTGGGCTCCAAGGTGTCTCAGATGGCTGCACGGGAGTGGAGGAGGGTGGAGGGGTCCCTGTCCTGGGTTTGAGCTAAAACCCAGTCCTATTTAGTGATTTTTACTTTTCAGTTTTAGTTTCTTCTAAAAGGCTGCACTTTCTGAAGTTAGCACATCAGGTGCTGCCGCAACACCGGACTCACCCTCCAGAATCCTACAGGATAAATGATCTGCCCGAGTGTCGCGTCATCCATCTGCAAAATGCCGTCGACGGTGAGGCCGCGCTGGCGCAGGCGCAGCATGGCAGCTGATGTCACTTGGTCCTTGGTCTGGCTGGACAGCATCAGCGACAGCAGGACTTGGTAGCGCATAACCTGGGGTAAAAGAGACGGTGAGACATGGTGAGACCTCCACGAGGATCCGTCCGCCTCTAGGCCTTCGTTCTTCCATCCAGCACTACCTTCAGTCCAGTGCATAATGTGGACACACCCTGGTTCAGCTGTACCTGTCTACAACAGTCTGGAAGGCTGCAAAGAAATAATCTTTTAGTTCTGCCAGGGAGAGAAGAAACAGCCTCGATCTAAGCAGGGGTCGTGTGTAAAAGGGCAGAGAGCAGCTACTGTCGGCTGGGATCTCACATCCAAAGACACTGGTGCTTGGCCACAAAGGGGCCAGACAAAGCTTCTCCTGACGACGGGATTCTCAGGAGGCTCCACAGGACGTAGAAGTACAGACGCGCAATGATTTTTCATGCAACTTCTGCTCTAATGCAGCTTTTGAATATCCCGTTCTTTTCCCAGTAGGAACTACGTCTCTGACTCCTTACAAAACCAGATCTAAAGAACTGGGATGACAGAGGCTGGGAGATGAAGCACAAAACCCAGAAGTTCCTCTGATGCTGTCATGCAGGGTTCAGCCCAGCTCATCCATCTCCTATTTTTCAATTGTTTTTTCCCTAAATGTGATTCCTCCAGAACGAGGAGAATGATGCAACTAAGCGGGAGTGACCCGGGATAACGTCAAACACCAGCCTTCCTCCAGCTCTCTTACAAACAAACTTTACAAATCTGCAGGTGCACCAGGAGGGAAAAAACAAACTCTCTGGAGTGCATGGCAGCAGGGTAATCTCTGAGCGCATGGAAGTTGTCTGAGGAGCGCTGGCGCGTGCTGAGGGTTACAACATCCACTTTTTCTTGGAAGCAGCAACCCTGCTTCCCTCGGGAAGAAAAGTTATTTCCGTATCGTTCACGGTGGTCACCCCTGGCCTCGCAGCTGCGCTCGGTGCCAGCCCACGCGGCTGTGGAGCACGTGATGCTGCCTAAGGCTGGAGTCAAATCTGGTGGTTTTCTCCAGGGCTCCAAAGCCCAAGGCACGACGCCAGCGGTGAGGATGGCGTTACATGCGCCGAAGCCGGGCAGCAGCGTTTTGGAGACCCCTCCCTCAGAGCCCAGCAGGTCGCTACGGAGCATAAGACTCCCACCGCTCCGCTGAGCCTGCTTGTGGGTTCTCTTCATATTCCCACACCACGGCTTCGCTCTGCTTCAGTATTTCATACGGATACATTTCATCAATGTAAATGGTCCCCTTGGAAGGAAAAGTCATCCGGGGTCTTCGACTGTGTTCCCAGGGCTGGGGAGCACAGTGCCATCCCAGCACGGCCCTTCCTTTCAGCCAGTATCCCCTTAAAAGTGACTGCAAGAGGGAAAGAAGCCAAGCTACACTGCCGTCGTGCTCTGAAGAGCATGAAAGCAGCCTGCAAAGTTTTTTCTCGGCTCCTCTTGGCTTTTCACCACACTGCTTTTCCTCTGTATTACAGAGCTGTCTGGCTGGATCCTTTCCTTGGCCTCCTACAGGGATTTTTACGAAACAAAGAGACATGGAGCTGGGCAGCAGGGCATTGTTACCTGCGGAGGTG